AACTTGGTAACTTCAAATTCCTTACTATGGCATCTGCTCTATTATCCAGTAATCATAATGCATTCCAACATGCAAATAGTTATGCCATATGGTAGACTTGTGAAGCAGTACCGCTGCCCTGTGGTTAGATATAAGCTCTGCTTCATTAATAACAAATTACAATTTAATAATTACTGACTGTCAATATAACCACCCCTAAACTACTACTGCTAGGTCATTTTACCCCCTAAGCTGCATCTGTAAACTGGAGATAAGAGTTATTAACAGGGTGGTTGTGTGTATTCAATGGTATAATGCGTGGAAACTGCATAAGAGCTTCTGGTATATGTAAGTGCTCAATAAATATAAGTATAAGAAATAAATTATAAATCACCTAAGTTTATCTAAATGCCCTTCCACATCTCTTTACCTTTCTTCATAACGGGCAAGTTTTTAAAAGACCCTTCTTATCCCACACACATCTAAAGTACCTCTGGATGTTGGCATTCATTAATGCCACAGAACCAATTTGAACAGTTCACTAAATCTGACTAACCCCTAATCCCTACACACTGCTATTACAAACCCCTAATACCTTGCTGGGTATTTTTAACATTATCATATTTAATCCTCTAGAGAATTCCAAAAGGTAAGTATTGTCATACCATTTTAAAGGTAAGATAATTGAATATCAGAGACAAAAAGCAAACTGCCCAAGGTCACAGAGCTAGTCTGTCTGCCTCTGGAGCCTTTATTCTTTCTACTGAACAACACTGCCCTAACTCTACTCTCTACCTTCCATGGGAATACCCCTAAGATTCTGACATGGAACCTTTTCTCTTCTGTATTAAGCTCTCTCTGTGGGTGATCTTCACCCACTGACAAGACTTTAACTACCACCTCTCTGCCAACAGCTCCACTAACCTCTATTTGAAGGCAGGACTTTTCATCTCAGTTCCAATTCTATATATCCAACTTCCTTGGTGGACATCTCTGTGTCCTTCTCAGGTACCTCAAACTCAGCATTGCCAAGGCCAACATTTTGTTCGACCTTGCTTTTTAGCCTGACTTTTTCTTTCCTGATAGAGCCATTACTTTCTTTTTTTTTCCCGGCAGCTGGCCAGTACAGGGATCCAAACTCTTGACCTTGGTGTTATCAGCACCATGCTCTACCCACTTTTTTAATATTAACATCATTTCTTTTTTTTTTTTCCTTTTTGTCTTTTTTACTGACCGGTAATGGGATCGCAACCCTCGGTGCTGCGCCCGTACCTCGCTCAGCCAGTGAGTTTTTCTTTTTTTTTCCTTTTTGTCTTTTTTACTGACCGGTAATGGGATTGCAACCCTCGGTGCTTACCTCGCTCAGCCAGTGAGTGGAACCGGTCTCCACATGGGATCCGAACCCTCGGCGGGAGCACCGCCGCGCTCCCAAGCGGCGCACTCTCCAGTGCGCCACCGGGCCGGCCCCCTTCACATTTTCAATGTCACAGTATCTTAAAATACTGAATGTAGACTCCTTTGAACTTGTGTTCATGACTATTATGAACCCCTGCAATCTGAATGCTAATTTTAAACTAAAAGCTGCCGTGAATGTCAGAACAAGGTTTGCGGCTCCTGTTTTAGTTAGGTTGTGATGGAATTTACAAAGTCTGCAACAAAATCTAAGCCCCCTGTATACAAAATTAACTACACACACACTATAAACATGTAAACCAGCATGGAGGCTGTTTATAAGCTTGTAAACCAGCATGGAAGCGGCTGGGGTGGAGGGCGGGGGGTGGGGGCAGGAGACCACAGGTGCAACATTCCCTCCACAATATTCTCATTGACAGAAGCGGCCATGATCTTATCCAAAGGACTGGGCATACTGCAATGTAACATGGAGAAGCTGACCACACCAGTGTCAGCCAGATCAGAGCCACACTGCATGAGGTGGCTGGCGCCACCTGGATGCACACAGCAGGTTTTTAAAAGACCAAGACAGTAATACTGTAAAAACCTGTGCCCTTAAGCCTTTGCTAACTGTAAGAAATTCCATACTGCAGAATTTCTACCAGTTTTCTTTTCAGAGTTAAAAAGCACTAAGAGTCCATGTAAAATGGCAATTTAGGGGCCACTTTCTGACACATGCCTAACAAGGGCTAGCCCGTGGAATAAAGCCCTAGGGGGAGGGGTGCTTTGCTTCCTGTCCCTGTTCGCCTCTGTGGCAGCAACACAGTATGAAGATGAAACAACCAGAGGTCACTTGACTGCATGGTGGTTAAGTACTATTGAGAGCATGTGGTTGGTACCGGAGTTTCACAGTAAGTGACCCAATTTTAAAAAACCAATCCTTCATGATGTTTTTTTAGTTTTTTCACTTTTAACTGGAACCTCAGTTCGCAAAGGTCCGTTGCTCATTGCATTACAGGTCAGCATCAGACAGTGGGAATTCAGGACAGACATCTGAAGGAGTGGTCACTGGAACCAAGCCTGAGGCAATGCTGAGATTTCACTGGAGGCCAGCCCCTGACACCACCAGTACATGCCATCCCCAGCACCACCCTGAGGGAGGGGCTCCAGGAGCACAGTTGGGAGATGCCCACCCTGCACAAGGAGCCACTTGGGATGGGACCCTTCCTCACTTCTTCAGAACCAGGTCCAACCTCATGCAGCAAAGGGTCACAGGATGAACTCGTCTGACCCTTTTTCTGTGATGGAATTACCCTCTCCAGTGAAACCCTGAGTTGCCTCAGACTTGGTCTGGTCTTAAGGTAAAATAAAACTACAACTACACACTTTTTTGCCCATGATGTCGTGAAAATGCATGTTGACAGCCTGGTCCACTGATTGTTCGTCCTCGAAAGTAATAAATCCAAAACCTAGCCAACGACGAAGAGTGAATCAAGGTAGCAGGGTGTTGTGACACAAAACAGGATGATGAACAGTATTAGGGACGGGCCGAGGGATCCACCAAGGGTTTCAGCTAAGCGATGTGTGGACAAGCTGCGGCCCGGGGGTCAGGGCTTCCTCTCTGCCAGCCGCCAACTGCGCAGCAGGGATAGTGAAATCCACGCCCCTAACAGTAGCTCTGCTGACTGAGGCTAAGGCTCCACCCTGGACACCTGGGGTGGGGGCCTGAGAATGAACTGAGGTTCCATGTCTGGGACAAATTTGGAATAAGAGGGTCACATCTTAGAAGGCAGCAGCCAAGACAAAATGGTGAGGGCCTCCACTGCTGCCATGGGCAAACAGAGCACCCCCAAGGGGTGTCAAGGGTCTGTGCTAGAACGTTCTGGCTCTCGTCTGTGGAATACATCTGCAAGTGAACCCTGCAAGCAGGTGTGTGCCATGGATGCACTTCTGCTTTTCTGAAACCCAGGATTTCCCCCTTGGCTTGCAATTTGCTTTGCAGCTAGTGCTGACAGCAGCCATATATCGTTCTAAAGCGTTAAACGGAAGTACAGTCGCTATCACAGCTAGCACCTCGCTAAGCTTATCCAACACTGTTGGGTAAGCCCAAGGAGTCCTACCAGAGGTAATATATGCATGTATATATGTATAGATATGTATGTGTGTATATATATATATATATATATATAAATAAATAAGGAGTACACAAAGATACAGGCCACAACGGGTTCCAGCAGGTCAAATTCTGCTGTCAGCAGCAAGAGCAAGAGGCACCATGTAATCAAAGAAAATTTTAAAGAAAAAAAAAATTTAGCATTTCCCAAACACAAGAAAGTGGCAGTATAAACGAAGTTTGGTTGGTCTGGGGTGAGCGCGCCCACCCAGCTAACGGGCATGTCTCGGCCTCTATGTGGGGGTGTGGACCAGGGTCTCCAGGCCTTCCCAGCCCGAGTCGCGCCCGAGACCCTCCCAGTACACTGTCCACCCGCAGTGGGAGGACACTGGGTGAGCACTAGCACCTCCCAGTGGCCGTGTGCTCCAGCACAAAGGAAGCGAGCCAGCAGACTGCTGCCCCAAGACCTCAGAGGAACAAAGATGGACGGGGAAGAGCAGAGAACGGGCTGAAGACGGCGTCACCTGTACCAGCCTGCAGTGGGGCAGCGGCACAGGCACGCAGCAGAGCAGCACAGCAGAGGGACAGCGGGGAGCATGGAGGAGGGACGTGAGGTGGGAAGAAGCAGCCCATCGCTGGGGCCGCGCAAGCTGAAGAAACGGTGCCGGAGCCGTAGACAGCGGGGAACAGGGAGAAAATTATAAGCAAAACCGTGGGCGGGAAAAGGATGGAAACGGGGAAGAAAAGGCAGCCCAGGAATGTGAAGTGACAAAGATTACCAGCAAAAGACACCTGCAGTTCAGGAGCCTTCTGATTTGCTCTCTGGGCACACGTGTGCACCTGAGGGTGAGTATGCGTGCTCGGATGTCTGCAGCACAGGAGGGGAGAAGGGATAGTGAAACCATGAAGAAAAGCGCACAGGAGACAAAGCCAGGACGATAAAACCCAAAAACAGAGAAGACTATGGGCTGAGCAGAGGCGGCCGGCTGGAGCCAGAGTGAAGCCATAAGTCAGGCATGGGGACCGCCGCACAGCACAGGTATCAACACATGGGGACATTTTTTGGCTGAGTCGCATGCAGGATCCTGTGTACAGGGGCACATAAACTATCTTAAGTCAACCAAGAGAGAGCAGAAGGGGAGAAGGGAGACAGACTGAGCTTCAAAGATTCAGAAAGGTCAAGAAAACAGGAACATGTTCTCTGGGAGGACCCGCTAACCAGCCTCTCTCCCACCCTCTACTGATCTGCCACCCACAGGGACACTTCCACCTCAAAGCCCGATGGCTGAGGACGTATGAACCACACAGGAAACGTGGGCCCACGTGCTGGCCCCTTCTGCCCCCAGCACAGTGGGCTCAGCAGCACTGGCTACATCCAGTCCACATGGGACAGGGACAGTGAGGACAGCGGTGGCCACGCTGTGCAGCCGCGGGGACCAGCAGTATCTAAGAGCAGCCCTCAGGTTCCCACACACTGAGGTTTCCCAAGATCAGAGGCAATATTTGGAACACAACATAGGTGATGAAACAACATATTTAAAAGTTGACATTTTCTCAAACTGCAGGAGTGTCTGAAACCACAGGGCTTGCTTGGTCCATTTATAGTGCAAGAGGCGGTGAGTCGTGGGTAAGGAGCCCCGGAGCGGGCTGTCTAGGAATGCGTCTGTGTCAAGAGGCGACATCACCACTGAGGAAGCGGGACAGAAACACACTGAAACTTCGTTTACACCCCACTGGAGCAAAGCCGCTCCCTCCTCTGACTGCGGGACTGGCCTGTACCTGTGTGATATAATTTAGCACCTGGAGAAGAGAAATCTAAAGAGATATCGTTAATCACAAACAATTCACAGAGAAAAAAGGAAAAACAACTTACTTAACATTACTGTACTTTACTATGAACACTTAAATACGTCACTAAGCGTGTATGTCTAAATTAAATTAAGACTAAGACTTAACAGCATAATCAACAGGAGTGAGGACAACGATCCTCATCGTGGAAGAGGAGGAGGGTGCAGCTCAAATGGCAAACTATTGTCCAGCGGGCGGGCCTGCTGCGGCCGGTGCCCGCGGTGCTCTAACGACTGCCTCCGCTGGCCTTGGCACATGGTGTGTGGGGGACAGCATGGATGCCACAGGCTGACAGACGTGCTCACATGGCCAATCCAAAAGCAGGTGACGAAACAAAAACACACAGGCAGGGACAAAAGCAGCAGTCACAAAAAAAGGGCACAACAACTGGGTGCCCATCGTCCCAGCTCCACCAAACGATCAGGATATGCACGTGTGGGGAGCGCAGGAGAAAATGGGGGACTCTGAGAGGACTCCTCACCCTCCTCACGCCTGTCCCGCAGACTTAAGGGGAAAAAACAAGAAAAAAAAAAAAAACAAGAAAAAAAGCATGGGATGGATGAAGGAACAGCAACAAGGCAGGCAGCGCTGGGTGATCCAGCTGATGCCATGAAATGACACTGACCACGCTGGGAGGACGGAGGTGAGACGGTCCAAGTAGGAAGCTCACACTGCAGAGAACCAAACTTTTCAGCACACATTTAAAAACAGAAACCATGTGGAAATTCATGTAAAGTTGTAAAAACTTCAAAAGAATGAGCCAAAAAACGATGTGTGATGCCTGACCTTGGGAAGCACAGACAGGCAGAATGGAGCTGCACACGAAGGTGCTACGTTTTAGTATCTGTCTCCAAATTGCCCTTGCACTGAGGCAGTGCTCGCTACAGCCACCTAAGGTGTCTGACGGGGTAAAATAGTTTGCCATCTGAGGGGAGGAGAAGGTAAAGAAGGTCAAGGACAAACTAGATCTGGCTTTACCTCGAGGCCTCTGCTTCTCCGCATCATAGATCATGACCACCTCGGTGACCTGGAAGGGAGAGGGGAGCATGAGGCTGGTTTGCAGAGGACACACCTCCTTCCAACAAAGATCCCAGCTAACAGCTGCTGGTGACTATCTTATTTGAACCTGGAAAGTCCTGACACAAAGGTCTGGCTTTATGGGAGCCCTGGCATTTAAGGGGGTGGATGGAGGCACAGTAGACACTGCTCGGCCCCACTGTGTTCCAGGGAAGGCATCTGGACACCAGCCACGGGGGCCCAGCCCCACTGTTCCTCTCAGGTGCTTGCTGAAGGAGACCAGGTGACCCACGACCCTGGCCACATGTCCTAGCAGGGACATCAGCTAGGAGACCCCACAGGCACCCTTTCCATTCACTGACCGGGGAATCGAGGCTCAGACAGGCAAAAGGTGTGCCCCACTCACCCATGCACTGCCTGCTCCAGGACTCCGAGGGCAGCAACACTGGGTCATCTGCTGCCCCTGCGCTCTACTTCTGTCCTCCTCCCTACCCATCTTCCTCCTAGCTGGCATCTCCTTGCTCCTGAGCCCAAGCCCACCCTCAGGGACCACCTGACACACACAAACTACACCCAGAGCCCACTGGGTCATCTGCTGCCCCTGCGCTCTACTTCTGTCCTCCTCCCTACCCATCTTCCTCCTGGCTGGCATCTCCTTGCTCCTGAGCCCAAGCCCACCCTCAGGGACCACCTGACACACACAAACTACACCCAGAGCCGGGAGGGCTGCCCACAGTTGACAGGGCCAGGCGTGTAGCTGCAGGACAGATGTGAGGCCTGGCCGGCCTTAGGTGTACCATGAGCCTCTGCTGTAGATGACATCCTGACTCTCCTGGCTGTGCTCCCCTCTGCTCCTAAGTCCCAGAGTACAATTATGCTCAGGTGTCCCCCCATTTGCCTCACTAGAGCATCAGGTCCATGAGGGCACTGAGTGCCCCATGTGACTTCTCTGAGTAACTCCTACGAGTCTAAATCCTGCAATGATTCTAAAGGATTTTAGCCTTATCTAGAAAACAAAACCACACTTGGGAGGTGCTTTGTTGTTACTGAAAAAACATCCAGCAGGAAATGGGTCAAACATCTCTTGAGCCCGGGTAGCCAGGAGGACAGGGAGGGCTCCCTGCCACTCCAAGGTCCGTTCTGCTGACAAAAGGACCCAGGAAAACTTTACACCAGGCCGGGCCCACCCTCATCTGCAGTGGCAGCTCCCACTGGTGGGCACCTTGCCTCGCGCCTCAGGGAGGGAAAGGAGTTAAACCAAGCACCCAAGTGGGCTTAGTGTGGGCCTGGTCTAGGACTATCCCTCATGCAACCAAGGGACACAGCTTCACAGGCCCAGGCCAGCTCCCACAGCCAAGCCTAACACCACTTCTCTATAACTTCCACTGTCTTGCATTTGACACCATGGCAGCTACAAGGGAATCAGAAGGGCCACCCATGAGGTCCATCTGGCTAGTTTACATATGCCTGGAAAAGCTGCAGAAATACTCTGGGATGCTAAACGGCCATGAAGGGAAAGTCTGGGCTTCTGGTCTTTTGGGGGGAGTGAAGGGGAGAGGAATGGTAGGAATACAGGAATGAGCTCCCAGGCTTGAAAAGCCCACAAATCCATAGCTCCACCACCTAAGCCCCAAAGAGGCCGAGGGCCAGGAAGAAACTGCTCTGAGCAGCCCGTGCTGCTAGGGTGCGAAAGGACTCACCACTCCGAATTTTTTGAAGTATTCCCTGAGTTCTGTCTCACCACAATTGTGAGGTATTCCACCGACAAATATCTTATTTGATTTACTGTTATCGCTCCTGGGTCCTTTCTGCTGTTTCAAGAAGGAAAAGATGGTTAGTTCATATGGGACCTATCCTCCCAACACTTCCCATGAGTTGTACATGATGCAATCTTTTCATTGGTTTTAAAAGTCAGATAGGGCCGGCTTGGGAGTGCGGCGGCGCTCCCGCCAAGGGTTCGGATCCCACATACAGACCGGTTCC